TCCTCCTCCCCCTCCTCCTCCTCGTCCATCTCCTCCCCGTCCTCCTCCCCGTCCTCCTCCTCCTCCTCCTCCTCCTCCTCCTCGAAGACATCGACTGGGCATCCGCCTCCCGCCGTTTTTATTTTTTCATTGTTTTTTTTAACTTTTTTTCGTTTGTTTGTTTTCCGATCAATCAAGCAGTCAATCAATCAATCAATCAATCAATCAATCATAACGAAGATCCGTTCGAAACCAAGATTTGATAGGATGTTAACTATGATTGATTGATTGACTGATTGACTGATTGACTGATTGATTGATTGATTGACAAAAAAAAAGAAAAAAAAAAGGCTGGGAGGGGAGTGGACGCGGCCGTCCCCCTATGCCTCTCCTCCTCTTTCTACTCCCTGAAGTCCTCCTCCACCTCCTCCTCCACGTCCATCTCCCCCTCGTCTCCCCCTACACCGCCTCCTCGGCGTCCCCCCCTACGCCTCTCCTCCTCCTCCTCCTCCTCCCTGAAGTCCTCCCTGAAAAAAGGGCCTGAAGTCCTCCTCCTCCTCATCCCCCTCCTCCGCCTCCCCCTCCTCCACCTCCTCCACCTACTCCTCCTGCACCACCATTCCCGTCTCCCCCTACGTCGCCGTCCGACTACGCCTCTTCTCCTCTTCGAAGACATCGACTGGGCATCCACCTCCCGCCGTTCCTTTTTTTCATTTTTCTTTTCGTTTTTTCTTTCCTGTCAATCAATCAGTTAATCAATCAATCAATCAATCAATCAATCAATCAACCAATCAATCAATCAATCAATCATAATGAAGATCTTTTCGAATCCAAGATTCGATAGGATCTTCATTATGATCGATCGATTGACTGATTGATTGATTGGTTGAAAAAGAAAACGGAAAAAAAAAAACGGCGGGGAGGGGAGTGGACGCTGCCGTGACGCCGTCCCCCTGCGCCTCTCCTCCTCGTCCTCCTCCTCCTCCTCCTCCTCCTCCTCCTCCTCCTCCTCCTTCTCCTCCTCCTCYTCYTCCTCCTCCTCCTCCTCCTCCTCCTCCTCCTCCTCCTTGTTCTTCTCCTCCTCCTCCTCCTCCTCCTCGTCCTTCTCCTCCTCTTCAAAGACGTCGACTGGGCATCCACTCCCTGCCATTTTCTTTTTTTCTTGTGTTCTTTTTCCGTTTTTTTTTCCTTTCAACCAATCAATCAATCAATTATAACCAAGATCCTTTGGAATCCAAGATTCGATAGGATGTTGATTATGATTCATTTGATTGATTGAAACAAAAACGGAAAAAAAAAACGGCGGGGAGGGGAGTGGACGCCTCCACACCTTAAGCTGCCTTCCCCATACGCCTCTCCTCCTCCTCCTGCTCCTCATCGTCATTGTCCTCCTCCTCCTCCTCCTTGTTCTCCTCGTCCTCGTCGTCCTCCTCCTCGTCCTCCTCGTCGTCCTCCTCCTTCTCCTCCTTCTCCTCCTCCTCCACCTCCTCTTCGTGGTCCTCGTCCTCGTCCTCCTCCTCCTTCCCCTCGTCCTCGTCGTCCTCCTCCTCCTCCTCCTCCTCGTCGTCCTTCTCCTCCTCGTCCTCCTCCTCCTCCTCCTCCTCCTCCTCCTCCTCGTCGAAGACGTCGACTGGGCAACCCCTCCCCGCTGGTGTTTTTTTTTTCGTGTTTATGTTTTCAATCAATCTATGGCAGCACGCCATCGTGACCTAGGAATCCAGCTAAGGCAGTCGCTGTTCCAGGTCAAGAGGCGTTAACTCTCGACGCTCTTCGTTGCACGAGCCCGTTGTGCGTAGTGGCCGAAGCGTAGCGCAGCTTACTAAGACGACAATTTGGTTCCTGAGAAGTTTGGAACCCCCCCTCTCTCTCTCTCTCTGTGTGTGTGTGTGTGTGTGTGTGTGTGTGTGTGTGTGTGTGTGTGTGTGTTGCCCCTTCCTCCGCCTCTGCGCATCAAAAATATTGGTTGCCACATGGCACTGTGATAAGCGAGACCTCTCCACGCACTCCCCCCAAGTCCAAGCCATCCCTTTCCTGACATACCAAACTGAGACGTGCGCTCTCCATGTCTCCACATTTCTCCAGTTGTTCCCCCCCTGTTGTGGGGAGAGAGAGAGAGAGAGAGAGAGAGAGAGAGAGAGAGAGAGAGAGAGAGTGAATGTCCCGCTAGAACATGGAAATGATGTACAAAATGAGAATGAATGTCCCCTTAGAACATGGAAAGATACACCGACATCTGGAGCTGATCTTTCCATGTTCTTGCGGCAGATTCACTCTCTGGTTGGCGGTGGAGAGAGAGAGAGAGAGAGAGAGAGAGAGAGAGAGAGAGAGAGAGAGAGAGAGAGGGCTCACCAGATGTACGAAATGAGAATGATGTCCCGCTACAACATGAAAATGATACAATGACATCTGGCGCTGATCTTTCCATGTTCTAACGG